CAAGGAGCTTTTCAAGAACAAACCTTTAAAAATCATTTTTTTTAACCAGCATTATCAGTTCCCAGAGGGACGGGGATTCCCGGGGGCACTGTGTAACTGTCACCGTACCTGTCAAGGCAGCGGTATTAACTGCACAGCCCGATCTGCACACCGCCCAGCCCAGCTAATCATTCCCGTGCCTCTGCCTCACCCCAGGACTATGCCGTGGGGTACATGCTGAGGCTGGGAGCCCCAGCTAGCAAGCTAGTGATGGGAATCCCCACCTTTGGGAGGAGCTTCACTCTGGCATCTTCTGAGATGGGGGTAGGAGCTCCAATCTCAGGACCAGGATTACCAGGCCGGTTCACCAAGGAGAAAGGGGTCCTCGCCTACTATGAGGTAGGTAATGGTGTTGCTTCACGGGCTGGCTCAGGGAAGAGGGGCCTCCCTCACCACAAGCACTTTTTCCTTTGGGAATAAAAACATGCTCGTTTGCCCTAGCATTCCCTAGGAAGACACGGGAGAGCTTAAGTCTTTGATATTTCTGAAAGCCTCCAGCAGGCACCAAGCTCCTGGAATATTCCTCTGGCCTCAGACCTGGGGTCTTCATTCTAGTCCAGAAAAAGCAATGGTCTCCGTAGGTGTAGGCCTCTGAAGCGCCACGTGGTCTGGGGCCTGCCCTGGAGCAGCTCACTTTCCTCACAGCTCGGTTTAAGGGGAAGGAAGCCATCAGATCTTTAAAGCCCTCAGGCTACAGCAGCTGAACTCTGGGGTATTTGCATCTGTTTTTCATAAATTTGCATGAAGCTTGCAGCCTGTAGCCTCAGGAGAGGAAGGCTACAGACTGAAGGGTGACTGCTAGCGACCTGACAAGCCACCCACACCACCCCCTGCCCTGTTCTCTACACAGATCTGTGATTTCCTCAAAGGAGCTGACGTGCACAGAATCCTTGGCCAGCAGGTTCCCTATGCTACCAAGGGCAACCAGTGGGTGGGGTATGACGACCAGGAAAGTGTCAGAAACAAGGTAGGTTTCCCAGAAGCCACACCCCAGAACCTAGAAGGCCAGAGCTGAGCCTGGGTGTGTGCAGATCCTTTGGGGAAGGGTTCCAGAGCACAGTTCCCCCACGCCTCACCCAGAGAACCCACCCTGCCTGCTCTGGACCTCCTCCACCAGGTGCAGTACCTGAAGAGCAAGCAGCTGGCAGGAGCCATGGTGTGGGCGCTGGATTTGGACGACTTCCGGGGCTCCTTCTGTGGGCAGAACCTACGCTTCCCGCTCACCAACGCCATCAAGGAGGCACTTGCTAAGGCTTAGCTCTCTCTTTCTCACATGGCACCCCACACGAGCCACTACATTGAGGTTTGGGCTCAGCCCGGGTGAACAGAGAAGCAGGATAGGACAGTGGGGTCGTCAGAGCCACGGTGTGAGACCAGGTTCAGCACATCTGGGTTGAGGAATGGAAATTCTCAGATGCTAAGCCCAGCACAAAGGATTTTCTCCAACTCCCCTTTCCTTCGGCGCTCCTGACCAAAGGACACCATTTTGGCACGTTATACCATCAAGTAGGCAAACATCTTACATGATACAGTGGCCATACTAATTATACCTTCTGCAAAGCCCAACTTGAAACCTTCAGCTAGGAACATAATCACATCTCTATCCCACTTCCCTTTCCTAATTCCCCAGCTGCTCAATAAAGCACAAGAGCTTAACAGTGTGTCTCTCTCATTTTGGTCATCTCCATGGGTACATGGGACCATGGCACCCACCTCCCCTGTCTTTTCTGGATTCCTTTTTCTGAGGCTTGGATATCAGAGCTGACAGAAGTGAGGTCTTGATGCCCTGTGCTGGGCCCTAAGGAGCCTCAACGGGAGGTGCTTTCCTCAGGCGGGGTGGAAATTCAGACTTTCCCCAAGCATGGCTGGCAGCAATCCAGATACTAAAACCCTTGTTCTTGTTCTGCAGACTTCAAAACTAAGTTCCTTATGGATAGAGACTGTTGCAGGGCTTTGAACCGAAGACCTTTTACCTAGCACGTGTCTTCTGATCCTCTAAAGGTGTTGAGAAACAACCACAGAATATGGTTAGAATGTGCAGGAACCCAGAACGTTAAGGCCAGCAAGGAAGGTACCCTTTCACGCACCCTTCCTGCTGTCCAGGGCTGGGTCTCTCCAGACCCTTGAGAGTTGGCCTTCTAGCCTCCCACTCCTAAGTGCCCCACAGTTCATTATCTTAAAGGCAGTCCACCCAGCCGCTGGACTGAGGCTGTCAACCGTCCAGTGTTGTCCTTGTCCCCAGCTCAGTCCTTGGCTCACTCCCCCTGCACACCACTCCCTCGGCTCGTGAGGAGATCAGATCTTCTTTGCCCCAGCTGACCTGAGACAGCAGGTGAGGAAGATGGAATAGCATTGGCTCAGAAGACAAGCCTTTGTGAGGAGGGGATGCTCCGACCAGGGTCTCAGGAACTGCCAGGAGCCCGGATGTGACTTTATTCAGGGAACCTGGATAGGATGCATTCTAAACCTGCTGAATTCCATCTGCGGGTTCTTTGACTTTTGGGGATCATCTGACCTGGGATAATCATTAGATGGCTAATGTTGGTGACTCAGTATTGAGGTGTAAAGAAGCCAACACCAATCTGTGGCCCTGAAATCTGAACCAGCTTGAACCGGGCACATGCAACTATTTCCAAGGTTACCACTCTGCTAAAGGCAAGGTGCTAGGCCAGGATCGTAGGGGTAGAGCAAACCTGGCATTTCATGCTGGCTCGTGGGCCAAGCAGTCCCCAAATCCTGCCCACGGTCCACCTTACCACACAAGGCCTCTGGAACTTCAGGGCTGTGAGCTACCCTGTTTCCTGAGGTTCCCCCCCCCTTCTCCCAGTTTGGGACAGGTTCTCAGGGCTGACTCAGGGTCCTGCCGAGTTAGTCACATTCGCTTATAGCTGCAGAGTCAGAAGCCAAAGTGGAGATCGGGTCTCCCTATCCAGCACAACACTGAGTCACCTCCCAGAGGCCACGGATGCCCAGGCAGAGTTGGACCCTTAGGCTCCTCAGGCTCTCCGCGGACACTCCATACGAAGACAGTTGGGGCTGAGAGGCAGCCATACTGCTCTGCCCCGACCTCATGAAGAGGGACAGCCAGGATGCTGTTGACAGCCCTAAATAAATTACACATCCATTTATTCCTAAATTGCGGGATACACCATGCCTGCTTAAGAGTGAGAGAGAGTCATCTAATTTAAAGAGCTTCTATGTATCAAAGGGGAAACCTCAGCGACACTTTGAAGCCTCTACCGTCATGGGCGTCCTTGTCCCCTCTCCCAAAGGCTGTCATTTTAGGCTAACCTTGGCCTTGCCTTCCTTTTTTTATTTGGCATACCAACTATGGATGCATTTGGAAAATTGAGGCTTCACAGGGCTCTGGGTTTGGATTTCAAGGACAAAGTGATCCCCGTGTTTCTGTGATTCACCCTTTGGTGTGTGAGATCGGCTGGGGTACCCCATCATCGTCAATCAAACTCCTGCTTCAAAACTGTGTAACCGCGCCAGTGGCTCATCCACCCCCTGTTCAAAGACTACAGAGAGTCTCATCCACGTCTCCTGGGAGTCCAGCGGTGGATGCCCAGAGTCACCCACTAGGCACATGGTCGTTGCCACCAATGCCCTGCCTCATTTTCCAGTCTTTGCTCTGATCCACACTCCCACCCACAGTGAAAATTTTGGCTTGTTCCCCCTCCTTCCCGACACAAGGTATTTATTTTCCGGATTTCAAATTATGACCAGTCCTAACATCTGCTTGAATAAATGAATCAGGGACTGGAATTCATCTGAACCTGCTCCATTTTCTACCCTGGGGGAGTCTATGCCTCTGTCCCTTTTTGAAGAGTCTGAGAAATTTAAGCCTGTCTGTCTTATCCTCAAGGGTGGGGGTTCTCAGTAGGCCTGGGGATTGGTGAAAACAGGGGCTTCCCAGCCTTGCCACAGAAACAGGAAGAGGCTTACTTGGTCCCTGCTATGGTCTGAACGCTCCCTCTAACGCTCCTCTATTGTCACTAATGGTCTTAAGACGTGGGGCCTTTAAAGAAGTGATTAGGCCATGGGACAGTTCCCTTGTAAGTAAATTAATGTCACTATTAAGGAGTGGGTTATTTATATCCAGAGTGGGAACTGGATAAAAGGCATGATTTAGTCTGTTTTCCTGTCTGGCTTACCCATTCTCTGTGTTCCGGCTCAGCACAAAACTCCTCACTGGATGCGGAGGGGCATGTTCTTGGACTCCTGGGCCTCTGGGGCCGAGAGGAAAGGGCCCCTCCATAGTTTATAGTTCACAGCGCTTATGGTTTGGTGCTGCAGTGAGACCAACCGAGAGAGTCCCTTCCTAGGAATCACACTGGAGCACCTGCCTCTGGCCAGCCTCACCTTGGGCATCTCAGTTTATGCCTCTCCAGAGTCCATGGGTGGGTGGAGTCTTAGCATCACACAGTCCCCATGAGAGTCCCCAGAGACTGGGGGACCAAGGCAGAGTGAATAGGTAAAAGCAGGAGGGCTCACAAGGAGGGCTGGTTCAAGTGTTCTTAATTCCAGGCTCCGCTCCATGGACATGCGGGCCCAAGGGGTCCCTGAGGAAACCAGACTCATGAAACTGACTTGATCTCCTTTTCCAAATGGCCAGTCTCATTACCCAAGCCCAGCGATGTCCCAGTTTACCTATCTATGCCCTCTCTGTCTGGGCACTGGCACCCTGGCTGTGAGGTCTAGCTGGGGTGATGGCGAGGTAGTATGTTCCTCAAGGGGCCCTTGTGGTTCCTCCCCCAGAGCTATTCCTGGCCTGGGAGCTCCCTGCCCCCCTGTCCCCCTGCCTGACCTGACCCCACAGCTGGGAATGGTGTGCTAGGGGTGGGGCAGACCCTGCCTATATAAGCCTGGACCTAGGTCTCTCGGGCACTCTGGAAGCTCAGACCTGCAGCTGACCCACCAAACACTCCAGCGTGACCCCCTCCCCAACCAGCTCAGAAATGACAGGAAAAACCAGCTCTGAGGCTTCTGTCTCCAGTCCAAGTGAGACAGCCACCTCTGAGGCTTCTGTCTTGAATCCAAGCGAGACAGCGCCTGAGCCTGCCCAGGTGCCCACCATGGAGTCTTCTGGAGAGGTGGTAGCATCAGAGTCCACGGGGCAAGAGCAGGCTCCAGAGCCACAGAAGCCTGACTCTCAGGCACTGGACCCCGAAGCCCCTGAAGCTCCTGCCATACCCGCAACCGCTAAGCCTGAACCTCCAAGTGAAGGTGACTAGAAGGCGGGGGCAGGTGGAGAAGGGAGGCAGGTATGCAGGGAGGGGCTCCTCGTCTCACCCTCATTTCCCCCTCTCTCAGATGTCCCCAGTGCCCCACTGCAGCTGACCTTGGAGGATGTGAGCCAGAGCTCCCTGACTGTGAGCTGGGAGCCCCCCGAGAAGCTGGGGAAGCTGGGGCTTCAAGGCTATGTATTGGAGCTCTGTCGAGAGGGAGGTGAGCACCAGGCTTAGTCCTGCTTCTGTTCAGCTGAGCAGGGCTAGGACAGCAGGGACAAGCCCAGTCCAGGGAACTAGAAAGGAAGAAGGTGAGAGCAGTGGTCTTAACTACCTGGCTACCACCTCCTGCTCCAGAGGGACCTCTGCAGGAAGAGGAGCTCAGTGACCTCAGGAGACCTTCCGTCCTCCAGCTCCAAGGAGCCTCTGAGGAACAGAAGGGTGGGGCATAGATCTAATGAGACGGAAGGAGGTACTACACCTCAGAGGACTTTGGGGGGGGGTTAACCCAGGAGACAGAAAGTAGGGGATACAGAAGAGGGGACCCTAAAATGAGAGGTATGAGGAGAGCTAGGGAAAGTAGGTCTCTGACAGCCATGTTCAGCCTGGTTTCTGCCTCTACCCCTACTTTGCTTTGTGTGACTTGGTGAACACGCCCAACCTTCTCTGGCCTTCTGCATCCCCACCTCTGGCCAGCATCCCAGAGCTCTAACACCACCTGGCTTTGATGTTACTTGATGCTACAAAAGCGGGGGGGGGCAGAGACTATAGCCCGAGTAAGGTCAGCTTCTGTCCATCACCCTTGAGAAAAAAAGTCCCATGAGAAGGATGCCTCTGCCACGTCACTAAGACCCAGACTTTCTCCACTGCCCTCAGCCTCAGAATGGGTGCCTGTGAATCCCCGGCCCGCGATGGTGACCCAGCAGACGGTTCGAAACCTGGCCCTGGGAGACAAGTTCTTCCTGCGTGTGACTGCAGTTAGCTCCGCAGGGGCGGGCCCTGCAGCTGTACTGGACCACCCTGTCCACATCCAAGAGATCATTGGTAAAGCCCCTTCTTGCTTCTTGCTCACAGACTGGATGCAATGGGGAAACTGAGGCCAAGGTCAATGGGACCCAGACAGCCACTTCCCGCATCTTACACACACACATGCACAAGTCACATGCTAACGTGTCTTGCCTTGTGAAAGATTCGGGTTCTTCAGCAGCAAGAAGGAAGTCCAAGAAGTCACTTCCCTGAGTGGTCCAGCACCCCCTCCACCACCACTGCCACCAGGGAGCAGCTCCTTGCTGCCCAGAGATGAAGCTCGGGCTCCCAGCACTAGAAGCCACCCATTCTTACTTTTACCTAATCTTAATCCCTGACGTCATAGAAGCTGCCTTTCTAGTTCCTCAAACCTGGATTCTGGAACACAGGGAAGGCCCTCCATGTCCCCTGACCCTCAGCGGGAAGAGGAATCTGTGCAAAGGGTCTGTGAAGGCTTTTTCATCCCCAAAGGGCAGTGTCGCTGTGAGGACCTCGAGGCCAGCTGCTGTCCCTGTTGCTAATATTTCTATTTGCGGGGTGCGTTAGCCTTAGTCCTCTGACTCCCCTCCCAAAGCTGCTCAAGTTTCACTGTTAATGACGGTGAGTCATTTGGTCTGATCTCAGGTCTCTGGGGACAGTACAGGGCCCCAGGGTGAAGAGAGACACGGGCAAACAGGTGGTCTGAGACCTTCTCCATCTTCCTTCTCATTCCTTGAGGGATGGATGGAGGTTGGAGACAGAGCCTACATTTCCAGACAAAGTATCTGGGAAGAGAGGTGTCTTAGCCATAGGAGGGCCCAAATGCAGATTCAAGGAAACACACTGCTTTAAGATCTAAAGACATAGAAGACCAGAACCCAGACTGTCATAGCTGAGTCAAACCAGGCAGATCCAAAGGGCCTGGAGACGCCCACAGAGTGACCCAGTCTTTCAGAAGTCTGGTGCCCACACAAGACTGTTCACAGCCAACGAGCTGAGCAGCATCTGCTTCAGTGGCTTTCAAAAGCCAGGACATTATCTGGGTGAGATAGCACACACCTCCTACCGCCAAATCGGCAGCAGGAAGCCTGCGCTGACTCCAGTGTGGAGGTGCTAGGAAGTCCTCCTGGTTGGCAGAGTCCCAGCCCTTCCCCGGGGCCCTAGGAAGCTCAGACTCTGAGATGCCTCTGAGACCTGGTGTTGAAGGAGCAAGCCAGACTCAGCACCCACCTCTCCACCAAAATTCCTCTGGCTGAAGAGAAGGGGATTTCCTGGAGAGAAACTTGGGGAGGAGGCGATGAACAAGCCAGGAACAGCCGGACCTCTTATGGGCTGGGCAGGGCAGGGTGGGGGCCTTCTCCAGGATCCTCAGCTGCTCAGCTGTCCCCCCTCTGGGCCACCTGGAGCTGCCAGGCATGCCTGACCTCCTGGAGAGGTCCCTGGAGCACTCCAAACCATGAGGCTCCCAAGCCAAGTGCCTGCTCAGCTAATCCGTGGAGACACAGTGTTCCTTCTTCCTGTGCCCTCCTACATGCCACTGGCCAACTGTTGCCACCTGTTTACTGCTTAGGAGGCTCAGGCTCTGTCCCCACACCGTCCCCCAGGGACAGGGATGGCAGCTGCTGCAGCTTGCCTCGGAATGCCCAGGGATACCTGACTAGGCCACAGTCAGGAAAGTGGTTCCTACCAAAGTAGGAGGCTGACCCAAGACTTCGGGAAGAACTTACCACCATGCCACTAGGGGACCGAGAGGGCTGGAAGGGGAAGAAGCTGGGGCACCTGCTCTAGCGCCTGTGCAAAAAGCCTGAGCTTCCCAGCAGGCCTGGAGACAGAGGCTTGAGCCAGTGAGGTTCCATGTTCTCAGAAAAGTCCTGGGTCCCTGGGGTGCACTACCGAATCAGCAGGAAGCCTGCGTGCCCACTCAATCCCTCTAGGCGGACAGATGTGGAACCCGCCTCCCTCCAGGGGGAGATAGAGAGCCAGCCAGGACCATCCGGAGGTTGAGAATGCCTACACCTCAGGGTAAATCCCAGCCTGGCAAGGCTGAAGCGACAAGGGAGTGCCAGAGATACCAACCAGTTCACACTGTAGAGCCCCTGACGTCTTGGGAGCCTCTCAGTTCTCAGCAACCCAAGGGCCTTAAGGGATTTGGGTCCTTCAATCTCGGCATTGAAGGCTTTGCCCTCCTAATGAGGAGGCTGCCCAGACTCGTGGGAACATACTAAGTGGGAGCTGTACTGTCTAGCTGGCACCCACACTTGCTTTCCCCTCCTCCCTCCTCAGAAGTCCTCACTCAACTGGGCTAAGCCCAGACATCTGTTTTCATGCAGAAGCCCCCAAGATCCGTGTTCCCCGACACCTTCGGCAGACCTACATCCGCCGGGTGGGAGAGTCCGTCAACCTGCAAATCCCCTTCCAGGTAAGCCTGCCTCGCTGGTAAGATCCTGATGCATCATGAGAGGCCTGGGAATGTCAGGATTCTCACTAGAGTCTGCCTGGGATCCACTAAGATGGCTGCCTTCCCAGTTTTGCACATAACTCAACTGTGAGTGAACAGATAGCAGCCCCAGGGCAGGCCACACACTAGAAGAAAAGGTTCTGGGCAGCAACTGTGGGATCAGTAGGACAGGTTTCCCAGGCACAGCTATGGTGGGGTAGCAGTGGGGTGCTCATACCGATCTGCACTCACCCCAAGCCCATCTTTATCAGGGGAAGCCCAAACCACAGGCCTCCTGGACCCACAACGGCCATGCCCTGGACAGCCAGCGGGTGAACGTGCGCACGGGGGACCAGGACTCCATCCTCTTCATTCGCTCCGCTCAGCGCTCAGACTCAGGCCGCTACGAGCTCACTGTGCGTCTGGAAGGCTTGGAAGCCAAGGCCAACATTGACATCCTCGTGATTGGTAAAAGGGCAGAGGGAAAAGGGCTGTCTCAAAACCCTCGTCCCTCACCTTGCATCCCAGAGCAGATGGTAGGGGAAGGGAGGCTAGGGTATCGTGGCAAGTGCCAAATCGCGGGTGTGAAGACTTCATAGCGGGCCTGCTTCCCCTCACTTCCCTTCATGATCTGGTCCTGCAGAGAAGCCTGGGCCCCCGAGTAGCATCAGGCTACTGGATGTCTGGGGTTGCAATGCCGCCCTCGAATGGACTCCCCCCCAGGACACAGGCAACACAGAGCTCCTGGGCTACACGGTGCAGAAGGCGGACAAGAAGACAGGGGTGAGGCTGGCTGGGCCTTAACAAGTGTGGGAAAGAAGTGGTTCAGACTGAAAAGGCTCATCCCACTAAGGGGCTCTGGATGGAAGACTAGACCAACTACCGCTAACCGACTCCCTCCATGGTCCTAGGCGAGCTTCTACTGGGCCGCAATGGAACTATCTTATTATGTATATCAATCACCTAGGAATCTGCTAAACATAGACTCTGAGACAGGCCATTGGGGCTGGGGGCTGGGAATCCCCACATTTAAACAGTGCCCAGGTCATGAGGCTGCAAGCCTGTTAGCCACACTGTGAGTAGCGAGACTCCTGGGCTCCTATGAGGGACCCAGGAGTCCTTATCCCACTTCCAAGTCCCTCAGGCCCAGTGTTGGATGGTTCAGCCTCCCAAAGCTGGGACATGGGATGAGCCCCTCTGAGGTGAATGAGGGTAAGCAGGAAAGACAAGAACTGGGTACGAGCTGGAGGTCACCCAGCTGTTGTCCCCACAGCAATGGTTCACGGTGTTGGAACGTTACCACCCCACCACCTGCACCATCTCAGACCTCATCATTGGGAACTCCTACTCCTTCCGGGTCTTCTCGGAAAACCTGTGTGGCCTCAGTGATGCGGCCACCACCACCAAGGAGCTGGCTCACATCCAGAAGGCAGGTAAGCGGTTCTGAACCTGGGCAAGAAACCTAAGCAGGACTGGTATTCCAACATCTGTCGCTACTGCTTCTTCTGTGTCCCCTCTAGGCTTCTCCTCGGTCCCTGCTCCTTGGAACATTTGCTGTCCTTCCCCCCACTCAATAGTTCTCTGTGATATGAGTGTATGTGTGATTGTGTACACACACTGCTGTGGAGTGACCATAAATAACAGGGTGGGGACAGACAGATTTTAGCAAACACCAAAGCAAAGCCATGCAAATGAGCGGCCCCTCAGGAGGCTGTGTGCTTGTTATAAGATGCCTGTGGCTGCTAACATCACAGAAGTCACTGGGTCTCCTGCCCAGTGTCCCCAGGGGCACACTCTGAAAGGCGACATGTACATGATAGGCAGACTGGCAACCTGTAAAGACACACACCTCCCCACCCAAGACTGCTGTGGTATTTACTGTCCCCATCAGGTATCTGATCAGTGTGGCAATCGGAAACTTCGGGACCCCACCTTGACCCCTGCCTGTCCCAGATCCTCCCCACAACACACACATCAGTGACCCTAGAAGCCACACTTTTAATTATTGTCCATTTTAATTACGTTTATTTGTGTGTAAGTGTGTGTTCACATGCACGCACGCATGTGGACTCTAAGGACAGCTTATCAGGTCTCTCCTTCTACCTTCTGGGCTCCAGGATTGAACACAGGGTGGCAAGGTTGGTGGCAAGCATCCTTACCCCCTGAGCCATCTCAGTCACCCTGGAAGCCACACTTCTGAACAGCAGCCCAAGCAGCACAGCCATAAGTTTTGTGTTGAAAAGAAAGGAAAGCCACCTGGCCTCAAAGACAGACAAAAATGGAATGTGATGTTCGGTTTCTGCCTCGCTGCCTTGTGGCTCGGTTTCCCCACCCACTCCTCTCTGTTCACCTCTGACCTGCCTCAGCTCCACTCAGCTAGGCTTTCTCTGGTGCCTGACAGTTTCCATGTGTTGACCAAGTTGAGCTTCCCAAAGCTTAGGGGTTGAGGCCAGTCTTCTGAAGCCCCCTTAATGCCTATAACTTCATATTCTCGCCTGAACTCAGATATCACTGCCAAACCTAAGGGGTTTATTGAGCGAGACTTCTCAGAAGCCCCGTCTTTCACCCAGCCCCTGGCTGACCACACCTCTACTCCCGGCTACAGCACACAACTCTTCTGCAGCGTCCGAGCTTCACCCAAGGTGAGGGGCCCTGGGCTGGTGGGGCGGGCAAGGGCAGCAGGGTTGAAAATGTTGCCTGAGAGTCAGTTGCAACCCACGTTCTCACTTCATTGTCCTTCATCTGACCTTGCTTTCAGCCCAAGATCATCTGGATGAAAAACAAGATGGATATCCAGGGTGACCCAAAGTACCGCGCAGTTTCTGAGCAAGGGGTCTGCACCCTGGAGATTAGGAAGCCCAGCCCTTTTGACTCTGGGGTCTACACATGCAAGGCCATCAATGTGCTAGGGGAGGCCTCTGTGGACTGCCGATTAGAGGTCAAAGGTGAGAGTCTGAAGGTTCCCTTAGTTCCTGGCCATGGGGGACAAGTAGACTCCTCTTAGGAGAAGGACTAGATGCAACTCAAGAGTGAAAACTGGAGCAGGAGGCAGGAGTAGGGGAGCGTTATGGACAGGTTGTGTGACTTTCCAGGTGGGAAGATGTTCTAGTTGGGGATCGGGGCACTGGGGATCGAACCTCAAACCTCCCAGTTCCCTCCTGTCTTCCCCCATGGGCTAACCTGTAGGATCTCTTTCAGCCTCTGCCACACACTGAGGAGCAACATGGCAGACTGGGACAAGGAGACAGGTGAGCAGATGGACCCACTCCTTCAGCTAACTCCAGTGAGCACATGGTCGAAGAGGACACTGGGAAGGGAGAACCCACTTCCCAGGCCCAAAGCATCACTGAGGAAGAGCTAGGCAGGAAGGGAAGGCAGTAGACAGATCTGGGTACAATTTTGCAGCTAAAGTCAACTAGCACGCATGTTCAATTTGGTAAAGACAGGGTAGGGCTGGGCCACGCTGGGGAGGTCTGGAAGGGAAAAAGGTACAGCGTGGGTGGTCACAGGACAGGATCTAGCCTCGACTTTGAGTGACTATAAACATAGATATCTTCTTCGCAACTTTTTCCTCATCAGAAAAGTAGGGACCCAGCCCTTGTCCTTCCTTCTTTATTTAGTGGCTCCGAGGTTCTGGAAGAACTAGGAAGTTCTAGGGCTACACTAGGCAGAGTTCAGCCTTGAGAACTGAGCCTAAGAAAAGACAGAGAAGGGTGGAGGTGACTCTCCACCTGACCCCCCTACTTCTCTTCTGGCAGCTTGGTCACATACCAGGGCTCAGAAGGACATTGTCTGCCAGGTCCTGCAGGCCTGAGGATCGGGCCCTCAGGACCAAAATGTCTCTCCACAGATACCCAAGACCAAGACACCATAGGAACATGGAGAGGCCTCTGGTACCTGCAGGCCTCCCTCCCCCAGAAGCTGGCGTCCAGCCAGACCCAGGAGTGGGCTTGGCAGGCCTCAGGTCAGGCCTCCTGGGTACGAGAGTGCCCCAGAGGGGCAGTGACTGGTGCCCCCTGCAGAGTTGTACGCTGGGTGAGAAGCAGTCAAATAAACGTGTGTGGTGTTACAGCATGGGGCTTCTGTGGCAGTGAGTGTCGTGGGAAGATACTATGTTGCTATGCAGGGAGACACTGTCACCACAAGGAAAGTACCAACAGGAAGGGTCTCCCGATAGCACAGGACAGTTTTCAGACATGTGAACGTTCCGGATCTTGCTTCCTGATTCACAATGTGCTACCCTAACTGTGTAACTATAGCAACAGAAATACCATCTTGGAACCTTCCTTGTTCCATCTGCTCCCACACCCCTCTGCCAGCTTTCCCACCATCGCCACAATGGCTTTCTCTGCTAAGGTGCTCTAACTGTCCTCTGACAGCGCTGGGGTGGTACGGCAACACACTCTCCACAAGGGTTCACAGTCTTTTATTAGACACAGGGACCTCCTTGGGCGCCAGGGACACCTTACCTCCCACTGAGGGAAGAGCCTGGAGTCAATACTCACACTCAGAACCTGTCACCTCCCCTGCCTGCTGCTGTCCACAAAGGAAGAAAGTCAGGTTCAGTAGGGTATGGATTGGTCCTGAGACCCACAAAGGCCTGCACTATGCTCGTAAGACAGCTTCTGAAACCCCTAAATACTGAACTTAACCCCCCAGGAGCATTTTGGATATTTGAATGCCAGCAAGGCAATCCTTCACACTCTCAAGAGAGTGGTCTCTGGTCTGGTCTGGCCTGCCATACCCCACACCAGGAGTGCCCATGTCACCTGGCAGCCTCTTGGAGGCTGCCCTCATCTTCCTCCCCACTCAGGCAGAGTGTTCCCAAGGGTTGTCCTTTCTGGGGCTTTCTTCTCCTGGAACCCAGAAGCAGAGACAGTGTCATCCAGGAGAGTCCAGGCCTGCCTCTGAGAGTTGGTAACGCTTGGTGGCCCAGAAGACAGAAAGTTACATTGGGAACACCCCGAAGTTCAGGGCAAAAGTGCTCAGTGCTGCCCTCTGCTGGCTACTTGAGGCCAGCACCTACTGGACCATGCTTACCTCCCAGCGCTTAGAGGCCCACTGGAATTCCAGGACTGTGAATAAACAAAATCCGAGAGTGGATCCCTAGTCCCATTCTTTCTGCCTCATCTATGTATAACCTCAGGCTTGTCAGGGTAAGTAAGGACTGCGGGCATTGCAGGACCTGTATGACGAAAAACACAAAATCCTTGGAGGTGGGGATAAGGTCTCCTTTCCTGAACTTTGCTATTTTTTCCTACAGAATAGGAGAGAAAGCAAAGCCAGGACATACCCACTTCTCTCTGTCCATCCTCTGAGGGAGTCTTATCCTCACCTTAAAGTTGGTCTTAATAGCAGGCCCCCTATTTGACTGTAGGAGCCAGAATATAGAGCCCTAGATCTCTGAATGCCTTGTAGAACAGCCAGGTATGGGCACTCAGCACCTCAGGGCACCCAGTTCCCTGCCATAGCCTGACCCACCTCCAAGCCTCCTCCAGCTCCCCAAGGTACAGGGCAGCTGGATCCTCGGGGAGGGGCCCTGCTCTATGGCATCTCTTCGGAGCCTCCCTGGTGCCTACAGCTCACACCCCAGCTGGGGTAGCTAAGGAGGAGCAATGGGACAGTTGGGACACTGGTTGTGGGCTGGAGGGAGCAAGGTGGAGGCTAGTCATCAGCCTTCTCCTCTGGGAGGTCATCGTCAATGGGGGGCTTGGGCTGGCAACGGAAGTGATCATTCCAAATCTTCAGAAAGGTGACCCGAAACTTGTGGATGCGGAAGGCGTAGACTATGGGGTTCATGGCCGAGTTGCCGTGCGTGAGGAAGATGGCAATGTAGATGAGGATGCTGGGCTTCTGGCAGGTGGGGCAGAAGAGGGTGATACAGTTCAGGATGTGCAGTGGCAGCCAGCTGAGGGCAAAGAGGAAGAGGATGAGCGCCAATGACTTGGCGATCTTCAGCTCCTTCCCGTAGTACTTCTGTGGGTCACCGGAGGAGGCGGATACTTTCTTGTTGAGCTGCTTACGGATCAGGTAGAAGACCTCCAGGTAGATGAGGACCATGAGGAGCAGCGGCGGCAGCACCCAGACGAAGAAGTTGAAGTAGACCATGTATTCCATGCTGATAACCTTCTCGAACTCACACTTGATCACGGGCTCCCCCACACTCCCGTTAGCTGCCCAGGCTTGCTCCACCTCACTCAGATTGTTCCAGCCGAACATGGGTGTCAGGCCTACCACAAGGGAGAGAATCCAGCAGCCTGCTATGGCCACTGCCGCCCGCCGCTGGGTCACCACTGTCTTGTACCTGGAGGGAAGGAGAACAGGGTATGAGAAGTAGCCCCGTGACTCTGTGTGGCCCCCTTCCCTGAGGCTCACCTGCCGCTAGGGGCTCTAAAAGGAGGCTTCTCCGCATTGAAGATCGTGTGTGTGTGTGTGTGTGTGTGTGTGTGTGTGTGTGTGTATGTCTTTAGCTCAGGGACCTAACCACTAGAATCTAAGGTTAGCCCAGAGTTTGTAAACTCCAGCCTCATTTCTCTTCCAGCAGAGGAAAGAAATTCTGAGGAGTCATAAAAATAATAACAGAAGCTGGGCGGTGGTAGTGCACATCTTTAATCCCGTTCTGGGGAGCCAGAGGCAGATGAATCTCTGAGTTCGAGGCCAGCCTGGTCTAGAGTGAGCTCCAGGTCAGATAAGACTAAACAGATAAGCCCTGTATTGAAAAAGGAAGGAAGGAAGGAAGGAAGGAAGGAAGGAAGGAAGGAAGGAAGGAAGGAAGGAGGAAGGAAGGGAGGGAGGGAAGGAGGGAGGGACAGAGGGGAGGAAGGAAGGAAGGAAAGAAAGAAAGAAAGATATAACAAAGGACCCTTTTTAAGAGTTACAAGCAAATGGCCTAAGTACAGCTCACTTGTACACACCTTGACCTCACTGGTTTCTCACCGTTGGACTATAGCAGTCCTAGGGGTGGCAGTACAGGTACAGCCCACTAGACCGAGGTTGAAAATGGTTGAGAAGCCTTCCCAAGGCCACACAGAAACTACCAGCACCATCCCATGCTACCTAACAAGTCTTCGTTCTCCCAAAGAGCCAGGTGTTGAACACTCCAAGAGGATCCCAACAGTCCTTTCCACCCCGGGCCACTCCTTTTGGTTCTGTTCTGCATGGCTGTAAGCATCTCCTGCCTACTTGGCTTCCCGGTCCCTTTTTTCGTTTTACAGGTTGGTCTCAAGGATAAGCTCAGCACTGCACAACTAATTGGGACGGATTCTCGGGGAAGAAAGCGGTGTTTGCTGAGCATCTGCTAGCACTTCCTGCTTCTCTCATTCACTCAGTAGAACTTGCATGGCTGCAGTTCTCAACGGGCAATCATCATCTCTGTGCTGGGGACAAGATAAAAATTTCTGCCGCTCCATAGCTCCTATTTGCTTCTTTTTTTTTTTTAAAAAAAAATGATTTATTTATTTTTATTTGACATGCACTGGTGTTTTGCCTGCATGTATATCTATGTGAGGGTGTCAGATCTCCTGGAACTGGAGTTACAGACGGTTCTGAGCTGCCGTGTGCGTGCTGGGAATGGAATCCCGGTCCTCTGGAAGAACAACCAGTGCTCTTAACTGCTGAGCCCTCTCTACAGGCCCTGTTTATCAGTTTTTATTTTTAAACATTTATTTTATTTTATGTGTTTAAGTGTTCTGTCTACATGTATGTGCACTGTGTCTCTATACCCAGTAACTGAGGGGGTGAGAAGGGGACATCTGAACCTCTGGAAATAGAGTTACAATTGGCTGTGAGCTGAAATGTTGGTGCTGGGAACCGAGTCTAGGTTCTCTGCAAGAACAACCAGCACTCTTATCAGCCAATCCATCTCTCCAGCCCCAGGGATGTATTTTTACATTTTTTATTACAGAGTGTGTGTGTGTGTGTGTGTGTGTGTGTGTGTGTGCGCGCGCGCGCGCGCGTGCCCCAATGCTCCTGTGGAAGTTAGAGGAAAAACTTGGGGGAACCGGTTCTCTCTCTCCTTTGAATTTGTGGGTCTTGGAGAGTGTTGTCAGGCATGAGAGCAAGTGTCTTTCTTTACCCACTGAGCCATCTCGCTGGCCCTATGTAGCTCATATTTTGGATCAAGTGACGATAGCACAAGAGCCAGGAGATAAGGGCTCTCCATCGCGATGTGCCCTTCAAGGCTGAGCGATGCCACGCAACCTTTCCCAGGTCTGCAGACACACTTGGAATGACTCACAGGAGACAAGGCTGCCTATCAGCCAGAGGTGACAGCCTCGCTTGCCGCTGGGGGTTCTAATACTATCCCTGGGGGGCTTCCCACGTCTCTTAAGATGACACTACTCAGAGGCCAGCCATAGTGTCCTCCACCTACACTCTAGTGTTGGAGAGAATGCCAAAGGCTGGGGCCTGCACAACTCCATGCCAACAGCTGGCAGAGTGGCTGCAGCTTGCCCAATTGTTATTTTCCAGTGCAGTTCCTGAGAGGGCTGGGGTGGCCTCCTGAGCACTGGGCTGTAAAGGAAGGGCTCCAACTGTTTTCTTCTGCCCTGTGCCAGAAGAATCCTCTGCTCTCTCCTTCTTAGACACAGATCTTCTGGGCCCATAAGGACCCACTGACACCCACCTGCTCCTGCAGACCATGGAGATGAGGAGGTAACGGGGAGAAAGCAGACACCCCTCTGAAAGGCCAGCACTAGAGGGGGCTTTGGAACCTCACATCTAATTCCTTCATTCCAACTCTAGTGCCTCTAAAGTCCTGGCTGCCCCCTACTCTACGAGAGCAGGATTCTTGTGCTCCCAAACTGTCAAGCAGCCCTAATGCTGGCTCACTCCCTGGTGCCTCACTCTGGCACTGCAGCAGAAGCCATGTTCTCCTCCCTCACATCTGCAGCCGAGCAGCCAGGCTGCTGGATCCTTTGTAGGCAGAAGACCTGAATGTGGGCACTGAGTCTGCAGGTTGCTAACTCAATTCCTCCTTCGGAGGGTAAGGATGATATAAAAATGAGATAATGCTCAAATACTCTGCAAATACCCTCTTAATACTCCCTAGCCTGAGCTCTCACCCCACCAAGCTCCTAGACAAACACACCTGCAACATCCCAGTGCCTCTAGGAGCTCAGCAAACATAGCCTGGGTGCTATTCAAACAGGTCTGGCTCGTGGGCATCTCCAAGCCTCCCCATCATGGCCTTCCAGACACAGGGAAGCAAGTTCCGGGCAAGAATTTACAGGGATGCCGGGCAAAAAATGGGATCTTGGGGGAGGGGGGGGAGAGAGGTAAGGGGAGA